CTGTGGGACTATGTCTCTGTGGGGCTGGGGCACTGTGAGGCTGTGGCACTGTGGCTCTGTGGGACTATAGGGCTGTGGCTCTTTGGTGCTGTGGCACTGTGGGGCTGTGGGACTGTGGCTCTGTGGTGCTATGACTCTGGGGGGCTGTGGCGCTGTGGTGGGTACTCGCTCTGCCCCAGACCTTTGCTCTGCTCTGTCTCCTCCGTCTCCTTTTCCTTCTTCACCTAAGCAGATAGGTACTTGGAGTCCACGTGTGGCACTTGGAGTCCACGTGGCAGCTGTCAGATGGCAGCAGCGCTGCGCCTCTCCCTTCATTAACCTTGTTATCCAAGGACCTGAGCATGATTTGCGTGGCCTGGGGCAGTGGAGCGGGACACCTTTCCGTGTCCCAGTCTTTGGCGTGCACTAGATGCCTTTTATGTTCTTTCAGTCATGATGAGATACTCTTGTTTCGTGGAGCAACGTGAGTGAAGTGCTTAGCCTGGGGCCAGGCAAAGTAAGTACTAGCTGTTATCATTATCATTATCATAAAAGCCTTTTCGAGGAAAGGAAATAGAGGAACAGAGTCGTCAGGACCTCAAGGCCACTCAAGATCAATCTGTGCATACTGCCATCCACAGGCCACACTGCTGGAGGCCCTCAAATCTCTTTGAAAAGTTTGCCCTTAAGATAGCCAAAGTTCTGATTCTTTTGACTCTGGCAGAGTCTTCTGTGGTACCTCTACCCTAGGAGGGCAGGGACAAACAGGCTGCTGTGCTCCCTGCAGTGGAGTCCCGGGCGTGGGGGCTGCCACAGGGCCCTGTCGTGCTCCCAGCTGCTGGAGTTGGTCTCCCAGGCAGTTTGCAGTTGGTTAAGCCGTAAGAGCACAGCAGCGCTGAGGGGAGGCTGCCCTGCACTCGTTCTGGGAGAAGATCCATCAGCGTGTACCCCAGCTTGAACTGCTCTGCCCCATACTCGAGTCAGCCATGTGAGTGTGGCTTTTGGATCAATCGGTGGCCATGAATGAAGCCAGAATCTCATTTTCAGAGTGAGAAGCAGCCACGCTTTGATCTCTTGCTGGAGGGCATGCGACTTGCAGTATCTTGACCTGAGGTCACTTCCCATGAACGTCCTTCAGGAAAGGCTCAGACAAGTCCCTCAGCACAGGACCTCGTGGGCCGTGAGCGGGATAACAAGCCCATGGGGCGAGTGTCCCGGCCATCCACAGTCGGTGTGAATTTGCTTCGGAAAGGAAGCCGGGCTCTCGCCTTGTCCATGCCTGCTGGTCTGGGCTTAAAAAGGACGTGCTGAATGCAGGTTGAAGCAGGAGCCAGAGCTTCTACGCGCTCTGGAGGGGGCGCTTCTCACCCGCACGGTCCCGACGCTCTCCCCACCTCACATCCCACAGGGCGACAAAGCCTCCTGGTCCATGGGGCTCAGCTCCACACTGACCTGAGCCAGGGCAGCCCATGAGACAAACTTTTCTTCTTCTTACTTCTGTTGCAAATGAAATGGCAAGCTGGGGTGTCTTTATTTTTTTTTTAAACAAAGAAACAGCAACAGCAACAACAACAATAACAATAACAACACAACCCCAAAGCTCAACAACAAAAAAAGGAGAGAGCTATGTCATTTTTAGGCACTGATTGAAAATTCCAGTCCCGCAGCAGAGCAGCAACAGCACTTGTCTCCACCGCATTCCACTACCAGACAATAAGGCTCTTTGAACCAATCACGACGCACCAGCCACAGAGCTGGCCTTCAGGCTTTCTTCTTCTGCCCTGCGAAGCCATCCATTACCTTGAAGACACCCATGTACTCAGCCAAAAGCAGTCCTGTCTTCACGGGCAGGATGCTAAAGAGAATACAGAACAAAAGTGACTTCTCGGTTATGATTTGTGGAAGCGTCCTTACCAGCGTAGCTGAAGTCTGTCACTCTGCATCACAGGTGATGTCATTCTCCTTCACCGATGCACACATTACGTGGTCTCAGTGTGAGCTACCCTGGGGAGGCTGGGCTTTGTGCCCCTCAGGGGTTCACCTGCTCAGGGTCCCTGTCCTCTCCCGGGTTGCTTACGCTGTTTGATTCACCTGTCATGTCGTTCCCAAAGTACTACCAGCCTGCATAAGGACTAGGAGAAGGAGCCAAGTGGCGCCTCCTGCACAGGTGCTGGCATAGAAGCACAGGGCTGGGTGCAGGAAAGCGAGCTCAGAGTGGAGATTCGCAGTGTTCCCTCGGAACCGCCGTTCTGAGACCCCTTTTCTCATTTCGTATGTCTGGACGGCACTGTGCTAGCCCAACTCCACCTTTCCTTCCTTCGCCTCACGGTGTCTCCTGCCTCACACACCCCTGCTCCGTCCACAGAGGGCCATTTCTGTGGTGACACACACTTCCGCATGTCTCGGCCTCGGCTGCATCCCTGGGTCCTTTGGTGACGCCTGCTGCACACAGAGCCCCCTCTAAACAGTGGGGAAAATGTCTGAAAGGAAGTTCGCTGTCAGCCCCTTCATGGAGCCTCTCGGTGCTGCCTCTGGCCCTCTCAGGACTGCCTAGTCCTCACAGCATGGCCTCTCGGTGCTGCCTCTGGCCCTCTCAGGACTGCCTAGTCCTCACAGCATGGCCTCTCGGTGCTGCCTCTGGCCCTCTCAGGACTGCCTAGTCCTCACAGCATGGCCTCTCGGTGCTGCCTCTGGCCCTCTCAGGACTGCCTAGTCCTCACGGCATGGCCCAGCACTGACACTGGAGAAGCACACACATCCTCACAGTTGCCCAGAGGAGAAAGGTTAAGTGCCGTGTCATCAGAGCTGGCCTTGCTACGCTGTGGCCTGCACCAGGGCAGGGCAGTGCTGCTGTGTGTGAGTGCGCCTGCTGTCAGTGCACGGGACGCTACGCCAGTCGTAGGCCCATCAACACTGTCTCTACTCCGTGATGCGGACACTGGGCCTGCAGTGTAGGACCTGCTGATGCTCAGGGATGTGGTCAGCGGTGGGGTGCCGACCCCAGATGTCAAGGTGCTTGTCAAGGTCCTCCGCCCGGCCTCACCCAGCTCCGTCAGCCACGCTGACCTCGATGTGGCGTGAGGCCCGGAGGAGGCACGAAAGCGGCGCCAAGCCTGTGGCATGCGGGGCTCAGCTGGTGTGCGTATTACTGGGAACCCTAAAAGGTCCTCCCTCCCTGAATAGGATGAGACAATAGGTTTTGGTTCACTGCACAAGGTAGATACACATTCCTAAAGAGAAACATTTCCAAATGCAAGATAGGCATGTAATGAAGATGAAGAGCAACACCCTTGCTCAAATAACTGGAGGACTGTCACTGTACAGAGGAGTGGACTTGCACACGGAGCCTGCGGACACAGCTGGAGCTGACAAGGAACATAATCCACTTCACCTCAGCAGAGGACGGTCCAAGTGGGACGTGCTTCCTTGCAAGGAGATGCCTGTGAGGCGATTATTTTATGATGAGCACGAGAAAAGTGCCTCTCCATCTTTTTTCTTTCCAGTGCAATTCCCAGTACTAAAAAAAGTATCTCTCCTTTTAAAGTCATTTCAAGGGCTGGGGAGATAGCTCAGTGGTCTAGGTGCCTGCCTGGCAAGTGCAAGGACCCATGTTGGATTCCAAGTACAGCATGCTGTACCAGCCCCGGAACCCTGGATGTGCCGTGCTGGCCCCCAGAAGCAGGTATGCTGGCGCACACCTGTAATCCCAGTAATCCCAGTGCTGGGATTACAGGAGGATTACTATGAATCCAAGCTGTGTAGTGAAACCTTGTATCAAATAAACAAATAAATAAATGATCTTTAAAAAGTCATTTCAACCTGCTTCTAGACAATTCAATAAACCCACCTCCCTTGGGTAATAATACAATACTAAGAGTAAGGGAGGATCCAGCCCTTCCCAGACTCAGGGCAGACTCTCCAGCTGTGCCAGTCTGGCGTGTGTCAGCAAAAGCGCCCAATGGTGGGTTCACTCACATGTAGAAGAGTTTCCTTTTTAAAGCAGGAAGAAAATGTTTAAGTGGGAAGGGGAACAGTGGGGGGGGGGGAAGAAAAGGAAAGAAGGAAAACAAAAAGAGAGAATAGAGGGAAAAATATAAGCAAAGCTTTTGTAAATGGGAAAGTGTTAGACATTTAGCTAAGTGGCTGAGTCGGAGGCCAGGGCCCCGGCCTGTACGACGGGAGGGCGCTAGAGGTGGAGGGCTGCACATGCCCACCCTAGGCTGGGGGCTGCACACAACGGAGGGAGGGAAAGAGGTCTGCTGTCCTCCTGTTGCCCTGGCTGCTGTCGCTGTCTTCTGCTGCCTTAAGTGCTGCCCTTCTATCTCGGTACCCTAACTTGGGCCAGCTGATTAGGGACTGAGCCCTCCACAAGCTGTGAGCTAGCTAAATCTTTCCTTCCTCAGTTTTGGCACTGAGTATTTTATCTAAGCAATGAGAGAAAAGTAACCAAGACAGACGAGGAAGAAGTGTTGAAGGGAGGGAGGGGACTGGGGGAAAAGAAGAATCAGGATGTATTATGCAGAGGTACAGATTCCTTATGATCACTGTGATCATTTTGTATATCGAAAGTGTAACAATCTAATTAACTAAAAATTCGCTAATTTTAGAGATGCATTTTTTAGGTGGCTCCTCTTGGTGGGACTTAAGAATAAACTATTGATTGGCAAGTTAGAGAAGTAATACAGTCTGAGATCATTACCTTTTTAAGACCATGATGAAATATAGAATCTTCGGCATGTACAGGAACAGCTGGTCCTGCCGAATAGCATCCACTATTTTCCTGACTACATATTCCGGTTCCAGAATTGGCAACAGAGTTGGGCTACTAGACGACGAACAAAGCAAAACACAAATTAACAAATTAATAAAAATAATTCTACCAAACCAGGGATAAAAAGATTGAAATACAGGATCATTTATTTTTTTCACTTTCAAGATTTTATGTACTCTTAGTATTTACTCCCTGATAACAACGTAACTAGAATCTGAACTGGAACATGATGACTCTAATTAGTATAGGGACGTCACAATAAACATCAGCGTGAAAGCCTATTACACAAATAGGCTAATGTTTTGAAGCGCTCACTGAAAATAAGCTCCGTGCTGTCTCCGTGGATGCACAGCTAGGGCCTGGGCGCCTGGGGCTCCTCCCAGCCCACTCACACGTTCAAGCCTAACCCCTACGGTAATGGCATTAAGAGGCGGGGTCCTGGGAAGGTCTCAGGTCATGAGTGTGGCGCCCTCACAAATGGTAATTAGCACCCTTGTAAGAAAAGCTGTGAGAGAGAGAATCCCAAAGCCAGAAACTGCAGCAATGAGAAGGCATTAGACCTCTAGCCTCTAGAACTGTGAGAACGAATTTTCCCCTTTCCGTTGCTTATGCACCCAACTACATGGTATTCCATTATGGCCGCCCAAACTGACTAAACGTTCCTTCAGTGATTTCCAGTTTTGCTGGAATCGGGAAAGAAGGTTGAATACGGTTGGGTGGCAGAGAGGATGTGAGGCCAGGACGACCCAGAGATGAACAAGCCGGTCCAGGGCCACACGGCGCCTACTGAGGGGACGCTGCCTTAGGAAACCCAGCATCTAAAACACACTCAAAGAAACGATTCCAAAACCGTTTTAAAATTGGGCTCAATTTTAGGAAAATATGTTCTAATTTTTTTTTTTTTTTTTACAAAACAACAAAATCAGAGAGCTAACCAATCATTTTACCAGTATGGTATTGTTGAAATCAAAAGACATACATACCTGGTAGCACAACCCTCAAACATTCCGGTTTTTATAAAAAATGGACACACAATTGTAGTTTTGATTCCCTTTTGCTTCTGGGCGACTGCTTCTATGAACATGGCTTCAGCAAACCCGTTGGCTGCAAACTTGGTGGCACAGTAGTCTGAAAGAGAAGCCACAGGAGCGCGCGCACACACGCCTGCTCTTTGCACTTGCCAGGCTGTGCTCCGCACACGCCGAGGCCTGTGCTCTCCAACTGCTGATGGAAACACAGCAGAAAGGCCCTCTAATGGTTTCGGACGGAAACGAGGACTTTGTTGGGCCGGACTAGAGCCCTTCCATGCTGGGTTCTGCTGAAGAGCTTGTCTGCACCTTGTCCTCATCTTGAGACTTTAAGTTACAGGTGATGAACTGGCACATCAAATGAATGCGATTTCAGGGCGGCACAGTATTCGGGCTGCCAACGGGGCTGCCTGGTCTGTAAGCCAGATTTGCAGGGAGTATTGGGAGTGAACAGCAGTGTGGAAAAGTCTTGAGTTTGGCCCAGAAAGAAAGCTCTTTAGAGCTGTGGGGAAGGAGCATGTGGTTGCCAGGGACATTAGAGAACTGAAACGAGGCCACGGCTGGGTGCGCTGGTGCAAGCCTCACCCTCAGCTGCTTGGGAAGCTGGATCTGGAGGATGTAGGTGAGAGGGTGGCCTGGGCAACCCAGCCAGACCCTTTTAGAAAAGAGTTCTAAGGCCCTGCATCTGATCACCAGGCTGCACTACTTAAAACAAAAGGAGACTACTTTGCACCTGCAGAATAGAAGGACGCCAGGAATCAGCAAGATGTCACCTGTCACAAGCTCAAACACTTTTGTCTGAGAAGGCAGCCATGGGGTGCCCTGTTCTAACCAAGGCAAGTGGAGAGCTGTTTGCTCTGGGCTTGTGCCCCCAGTTCAGCCACCCAGGCAGCTGCAGTCATGTTTCAAGTGCGCCCAGGCTCGGCCCCAGGCCACAGCAGAGTTTAGCAAAGCCCGTGCAGCCTTTGGTTTGCTGGCGTGCAGAATGAAAGAAGCTGGACATCAGAAAGGGTTCCGCCTGGAGGAGGGCCCGGGCAGCCAGACTGCACACAGCAAGAGCAAATCGTTTGTAAACGATCCCTGACAGGATGATGTGTGAGGCTGTTGCAGTGAAGCCAAAGCTGCGGCAGAAGTAAAAGTCACCTGAGCATGGAGCATCTGCTGAGGGAAGCTGTGGCAGGGAGCAGAGCTGCCCGAGAGAGGCCATGCCGGCTGCAGTGGCTGGGCCATGGGGTTACGCAGGGCTGCCAAGCCCTGGGCAGCCCGGGCTTTCCCACTGCAGACCTTTGGGGTCAATGTTTCGGTTGCCGAGTTTTGGTCTTTGGCCTGAATCCTTGCTGTTTCTCAATCTTCTCTTTTGGAATGGGAATGCCCGTCCTGTGCTACTGTATTATTTTATTTTATTGTTTTGCAGAACCAGGGATTGAACTCAGGCCCTTGCGCTTGCCAGGGAAGTGCTTATTCCACTGAGCCATCTTCCCAGTCCCTCTACTGTATTATTGAAGTACATAACTTGTTTTTTGATTTTTATAGAGACTCACAGCTAAAAGTTTGCTTTCAGTCTCAGAAGAGACTTGGGACTTGGCTTTTGCAAAGTGCTGGCACTGGGAAGACTCTGGGGACTTGTGGAGAGGGGCTGAGTGCATTTCTTATAGTGAGACATGCATCAGCTCCTGGGGCCCAGGGCACAACGTTGTGGCCAGATCCTACATGTCCTCCAAGGGCCCCTGTGCTGAAGACATGGCTGCCAGCTTGTGGTGCTACTGGAAGGGATGGAAGCCATGAGAGGAGGGGCCTGGCCAGGTGTGGAGGCGCGTGTGCCTCACCACAACTACCTGGGAGGCTGAGGTGAAAGGGTTCAAGTTCAAGAAGAGACTGTGGAATTCAGGGAGACTCTGTCTCAAAATTTTAAAAAACAGGGATGGAGCTCAGTAGAGTACTTGCAGCACACATTCCAGGCCTGGGGTGACTTCTCAGCATCAAAACAACATACACACACAAAAGGTAAAACTTAGGGAAGGAGCTTAAGTCATGGTGGGTATGCCTCTGCAGGATATAGGGTGGGCATGCCTCTACAGGATACAGTGGGTATGCCTCTACAGGACACGGTGGGTATGCCTCTACAGGA